AACTATATTTCATCCCAGTATTCTCAATTTAGTATCCTCGTTATTCTGACACACAACACCCAAATGTTCTCTTACAGCAAAGAGGTGAGTTCCAGAAAGACACCCTAAGAAAGTCACACAAAAAGCAGCAATTCCAAATTGGCAAACAGAAGGGTCTTGCCCGTCACCCTTCTCAAATCTTGTATTCCAACTGTGGAAAAAAACTCAGAAAACTTCCACAGGCTGCAAAAATCAGAGAAGTGATTCTTCCCCAGAATTACACAAAATAAACCAGAAGACAGCTGAATTTTCTGTCTGCATTTTAGAACAGATTTGATATCAAAAGTCAGGGGAATTTTTTTTCCCAATATATACACGCATCTATATCTATATATTAAAAAAAATAAAGAAACAACAAATCTTATCTACCATAGCAACTATTTCTGCTACATGCATTACACAAACCAGATATTTTAGAATACAGAAATTTAGTTAAAGCGATATCTGTTCCTGAATTCTGGCTGCATCTTATTCAAGCTTGGCTCAACCTACTGTAAACTGATTGTTATCCTAGATTTGAATCTTGCTCCTCTAAGTTTATTTTTGTATATATGTTGTCAAATCCCTAATATCCTATTGCAAGTCATCTGAACTACCAACACACAATAATTTTCCCTGTAATGATTCTTCATTTAAGACTATAAGTTGCAAATTTCTACTATTTTAGTGATGTAAGTATATCATCTATTGAATGTCCTGGTCTTGGCAGCACAGAATAATTTTCTTGCCAGATGGAATATGAAAGCAATACGATACAAAACATTTTTAAATTGAAAAAAAAAAGTTCAGTCATATTCATAAATACCATACTGCAACTGGAATGTAAGAAAAGCAATTTTCCCAAAACATAAACAACTGGCAGCTGTCCCTCAGGAAAAAAAAAAAAATCCTTCTAAACCTAAGTAAAGGCAGCCAGTATGCCATGTTCTCTGTAAAAAATTGGTCACAAATCAGTTATGTCCTGTAGCTGTGAATAGGGCAGGCCAAGAAGACATAACTACCATATAGATGTCTACATTCATTACTAGCCCTTTCTCTCTCTCTGTCCTCCTTTTCGGTGACAGCATAAGCCAGGTGCTTACAAAACTGCCTCCTAGTCCTTCCTGAAATTTACCTTCACGACATTAAATCTAATCAGATCTGACACGCATACCGTGTATGAATTCTGTTAGGAAAAACAAAAAGGACAACGTTAAGGCATCACCACTTGCTATATCCAAAATAGAACTCAAACTACAGGGCCCTAAAAGAACGGGACAGTTATATTTATACATTACCATTGTGGTAATAAGATTCCTTGCAGCTCAATGAATTTGGTTACAGCAATCAAGGTTAAATGAAACTAAATTCACAGAAGCATACGTATATATGTGTGTGCACGTATGCACATTAATACACACGTGTTTATATATAGATGTACAGTGAGGCAAAAGTGAAAATTTAAGACTGATATTTAAAGGAATCTCAATTTAGTAGAATGCATCTCAAAGAAAGAATATGCCACTGTAAGTATAAGCTAAAGTAAATTAATGCAGCAATAGAAGTAGTGATTTCAGAACAGTAGTAGTGCACAGGTGCTGTTTTAAAATCATCTGTAACAATTATTAATAAGCACACATTTTTAAAATATGTGGAAACCAATACTCAACAGGCATTAAATATGTCACTACTATGGACAATTTAAATCTCATCAACTTTGAATTAATTTTAGATTAAATAGCTAGTTAAAGCTATTTAAAGCTATAAAACTGAAACCCTAACATTAGAATCATATCATTGACTGCCACATGGTCCAGTGAAGGCAAAGGCAGAATATGGCTAATTGCATAATTCTGTTGTGTTACCAGGATGTGTATTCGCCCCATCCATCCCAGTGTTTGAAAGACATTTTAGCCAGAAAGCCTTTCTGAGACCTATTCAGCTGAGTCTAAGGAGGAGAAGGAAGGATCTTCTACGTTTCATCACAAAAAATTGGTCCATAGATAATTAATAATCAGGATACATAAGAAAAAGGTGGTTTTTTGGTAAATATCCAACTATGACAGACCTATATTGATATTCAGGTTTGTCTCTTGCACTTGGCAATCCCCTCTGCAGTCCTCCTTGGAATCAGGCTACATCCTGAGAAGGACAGGCAGATAGAAATCTTACAAACTGGAAAAGAAAAAGATTAAGCTAGAAATAGACACACTTATTTTCAAAATAATAATAATAAGGCCTTTGCAACAGATTCTTAAACAGTGTAATCTTTATATATGTTTATATATGTTACAACAAACATGTACACAGATACGGTCAAGAGTTCTCTAAAACAAACCTACTTATTCAAATAACTGAGATAAAAAAAATTCTTCATCCAAACTTATTAATTATTGTGTCTTTAAATGTTTTCTTTTCCACCTCAATATGTCACAAAAGCTAGACAAAGCCCCCTAATCATAATTTTCTTTTTTTCCACTTGAAAAACAAATAGGGTTATGTTTCCTCCAAAACTCAAGACAGAATATGTGTGTGAATTTATTTAAGAGGCGAAGAGATCTTCTGTGTTAAGGAGCCAGAATGACAATGCCTTGTCACAAGTAGCAATAGAAAGCCAGAATTACTGAAAATATTAAACCTGATATTTGTTTCATCATTTATCCTAAAAAATAATAATATGACGCTTTTAGAGTCCTAAATTGAAATTTACATCAAAACCTTTGCTGAGCTCTTATTGCTCTCACTCTATTAATGCAAATATGTGTTAAGTAGTTGTTTTATATTTCACTTCACTGTAAATAAAGAGTTTCACCATTTTAAGGAACCAAGTATCTGCTGTTTCATTGAATACCAAAAACTCCAGACTTGCTCCCAGCCACAGCATCAAAGCCCGAACTGCTCTCACATGGAAAACATAACTGGACACAATACGAATTAGTAAATACTAAAACCACAAGGGAGCACAACCTGCAATTCAAAATTAATTCCATTTAGTTATATATGCCAAAAAGTTTCTCTACGGTTCGTGACTATCTGGACTGTGTTACAGATCTAACAATGAAATACATTGTTTCAGTTTCTGCCAAAAGAAATGGGGGGGAGGGGAGGGAAGCATATTTTTTTGCATGTTTTAACAAAATTCTCTACTTGGTCTTATGTTTCATAAAAATTGCCATGCTGCTGCTCTTTCACTTACGCACTTTCCTACTGTGGTTCTACTTCAAGAAGGCATACTTTTGCTAGGTACCAGACAAAGCTACTTTATTTCATTTCTTTTAGTAGCTATCATGGCCCTTTATTTTTCTTTCCTTACTTTTTAAGTAGAAAAATAACATGTCAGTGCTATTCCTTAAACATAGAGGAAGCTAAGGAGTCAGGAAAAGCCCAGATCTTTTCCACCAAGTGGAAGATGCTCTAGGTTCTACAATGAAGGATGAAATCAACGTCTTGCACATTAGGAGACTGCCTCAAAACCATGAAGTACCTGTTAAGTGATCATTTTCACACTTTTCACCCCCCTCTTCTGTAGGTGAATCACCGTCTAGCACAGACAGCAAGAATACAGGGATCGTCCAGACAGGAGGCATTTGAAGCCTGGCTCCAGCAGAGAGGTGAGAGCACTGTTCTAGTTTCTCTCAATCTCAAGGAGAATGGATTCTACCTAAGAGCCAGAAGCCACCTGCCCTGAGAAAGGCACTTCCTGGCACAAGTGACTGGCTAAACTTTGTCACTCTGGAAATTTTTAGGTTTGGGCGTGAAAATTGAAGTTAAATCACAAAAGTACTAAGCCTGAAGTCCTAGGATAACTTAAGATTTAGCTTCAGACATTTGAGTTCGAATTCCAATAGCCATGTTATAAATAAAAGTCTCTAAAAAGAAACATTAATACATATCAAGATTAGTTATATTTGCTCAGCTGTATCATTAATCCAAGTAGTTCATGGCAAGAATTTCCAGAAACACCTGCATGTTAAAGTGCAATAGCAACACTAAAGGCATCCAGATCACTGACTTGTAACAGATGACCTTAATTAGATATGAACTTCATGGTTCATGTTTGTTCAAGTGACAGAACTAAATGTCTAAGACCGTGCCACTCTCCTTTATGGCTGGATAGAAAATAACCCAGTCAGAAGTGCATGTTTTTTGACATGATAGTTACAGGCAGACAATAGAAAATTCTCACTGAAAATGAAAGAAATACACTAATAAAAGTGTTAAGAATTAGCTTCCCAAAATTTATTATTGTATATTATTCTCAATGTGAAAATGAAACATTCTAGATTTAAGTTCAACAACATTTTCTGGGGTTTTTTTCAGTCAATGCTTTCTTTCTATTTTCTTACCTACTCACACCATACTAAGTCATCTTTTTCAGAAATATGTTGGTAATTATTTTTCCTGTAAACAATACTAAACAACATTTTCTCCCAGTTTTCAGAACTTCTCAAGATGGAAGTAGTTCTGTTGGTTTCTTCAGTCACCACTTTCCATACACAATAACAACATCAGGCTGAAAACCATTTCAAGTCATACCTTATTTTAGTGAAAATCAGAAAACTGATTCATTTGGGTAGCATACAAACCAATTTCATATTCAATCAAAAATATTTATAAAATGTATCATTTAGTTAAACTATCAATTCAGCTGTCATATACATTTTCGCTTTTTTCCTCTAATCCTTGTTTTGTGTTTGTTATTTGAATTCCTTTGAGGAAGCAATTCTAAAACTGGCTTTTAATCTAAAATAAGTATTTAAAATAATATTTACTTTATCTTATCTGCTCTTAATGCAAGTGTCTGACCTATACTAAAAATGGCAGTTTACCTCCAAAATTTAGATTAAAAAAAAATTAAAAAATCCTTATCCATTCTTAGAATACTGGAATATCATCAGTTATACAGAATAGAGCAATATTTGAAGCCATGATTAAAACAATAAAAATAAACCACAGAAGAGTTAGAAATGGTTCATACTGACCTGAGTCCATAAAGGACTGTCCCATCTGGATGCAAACGGATCATTCTGTTCTTCACAGTGACACCATGTACAAATGACTTCTTGTCATTCAGAAAATAGGTATCAGGAACCCACAGTTGATCAGCTACTCTGTTGTCCAGAGTAAGGTTTAGAGGTATTACATTATATGACAGCCTCTTATCCCTCCACGCTTGCTGAAAGTACATTGTCAAGGTATAGTCCTGTGATTATAAAAACAAAAAAAAGTTTGCATTGAAAGCGACAGTATACATATGCACAAAAAAAGCAAATACACATTTATTTATTGTGATTGTTCTTAAAGAAAAACATTTCCGCTCAGAGTTTCCATAAGTAGATTTATTTGTTTTTACAGTACTGAACATCTTGTGTATACTTAGTAACAGAAGGGAGAATACAGAAAAGATGGAGTATTTACATTTTATGAATGACTTGGGCGTTCTCATACTAATATTTAAAAACAAAATGGAAAAAAAAATTGTAGGTTCTTAACAGTCTGCAATTTCTGTAGCGTTTTACAAGCCTAAAAGTTCGAGGAAACAGGAACATTCCCAGATCTGAATTTCATCTCATAGTCTCCACTGCATTCAACAGAGCTCTGGATCAGGCCTTGATCTCGGAAGTTGCAGCTACCACCCAAATACTTCTCTAAATTAAAATCTCTTCAAAGTCTGTTAACCTTCCCCTGGGCACTGAAAACAACAGGAAGTCTCTGAGGTTTCTATGCTACAGAGTCTTAGTCTTCTACTTAATTTTACAGATGAAGTGACTCTGGTTACTTCAATGGAACAATTCAGAGAGCACAATTAAGCATCTGGTTAAATATCTGCAGTATTATGAGACTTGCTTTGTCTCAACCCAAACCACTAACGTACACTACGTTGGAGATGCTTTTATCTTTGGGTCTTTTAGAGAACAATATAATTACAAAAATTACATTTTTGTAAGACCTATTATACAGAGACAGAATATTCATTATATATGAGCCTCCACTAAAAAAAAAAAAACACTGTACACAAAGGATCTGATCACGAATCACTGGGTCAAGGGCTGTGAAACAAAACTGAAGGAATACCAAAAGGAGGAATATTCTAAATCCCATATTTTGTTTTGCGTGTTCTACAGAACTCATAATCAGCCTCAGACTCTTTTGATTTAGAATTTGTATTTAACATGGACTTCATTAAACAGTGAGAACTATTAGCTTACAAAAGATTGTTTTCAACAGAGTCAACAAAAGCTGCTGTGATTATTAGCAACCCCAGGATTCAGCCATGTCAGAGTATGAAAGTCTGTATCTATGCATCAGTCTGAAGAACATAAAAAAGAGAAATCCCACTTAACTTAGAACAAATAATTACCTATGGTGTCTACATCTCACCAATTAATTTCTAGCACTGCATAATGAAGAAAAGCATGCAAGATATTAATATTTTATTGCACAAATTGCAATATTAGTTCTCATTAGCTACTTTATATTTTAAAGGAGAGACCACTATTGAAACTGTTTTTATTACAGTTGGCAAAGAAACATTAATCTTTTTGATGAAATCCTTAAAAACCCCCTGCCACAATTGCATTTTACAAGCATTTTAATTTAAAAATATATTTGACCCATGAACACTATACAGAACTTCTCACAAAATACAAAAGTAAAATTTTCTTATATTGCAGTTTCACAGACTAAACTTGGAAAAACAACAAAAAACTATAAAAATGCACCTGTAAGAAATCACTGAAATTTACTTTACAGAAAAAAAAAAAGGAAAAAGAAAAGTTTTACATTTCTAGAAATTATCTTTTTACAGGATAGGACTTGATAAACACCAAATCTCACAAAAGTACACAAAGTTGCCTTCCTTGGGTACTGGCAAACAGACACACTAAATTTCTTCCACTGCTATGCAGAGAATTCGGATTCATCCTCCTTAACTTCAAGCCCTGGAGACACGTCTCTCCATTGATTTTAGAGCACCTAGGGCAATCAGCCCTAACCTACACGTGTCGGTGAAATGCCTCCAGTTAAGCAACATGAATTTAAGCCAGTGTCAATGGCAAATTGAGAAGAAAATCAAAATCAGATCTAACTTTTATTACCAAGATCTGAGTATCCAGAAAACCGTTTTCCCTTCCTTTATTAATGAAACTTTTTATGCATAAATTAGTTGCTGTAATTATTAACTTCAAAAAGTACACGGTCCACCCTTAAAAAACACGCATTAGGGAGAGCCTGTGACAACTATGGCTGTTCCAGCAGAGTTCTCTAGGCAATGACACAGCACCTGGAAACTAATCGACCCTGCCTTTTCTGCAGAGCAGCGTGTGCTCAGATGAATCAGTATGAACTGTTTTTCTACAGAGATGTGTATTTCCATGGTGGAAACACTCTTATTTTTTATGCATCTTTCCCCACAAGAGCCCACATACATGAGCTTGAAAACGCCTCTTCAGCTTTCACTGAAGCAGGGAGAAATACATGTTCCTGTTGAGAACAGTTACAGCTTTTCTTCCTTGTCAACACAAAACCAGAATGGCAGCGCTGTCCCCTCAGTCTTCCTCCTATTTGCGATGGTTAAAGGTTCATCGTCCTCACTGGCTGTGCCTTCAGCCCTGCACTGCAGTTGCTAACAGAAGGACGAACATTCAGCCCACACACAGAACACGTGTCACAAACATTAACAAGAATGCGCGGTTACAAGTAGGTAAACACCAAATCAGTTTTTCCAATTATTTTACTACCAAATATATTTAGCTGGTAACTATTCTAATCTGATCAGTTTTAATGATCTGAAATCTCTTCCTCTCCCCATCCTCCCAGGATCAGGATGAGTGTGCTTTCAAGAACATTCCACCTACATCTAAATAATTTTACTGTTATGCTTCATCACTGTTCTGCAGTATTTGACTCATAACAGATACCAGAAAACGTTCAGTAATATATTACCAGTAAGAAAATGTATTAGTCTTCATTACCCTAACATATCACAACATAAAGTAGGTGAACAGTGGCAATTGCTCCCCTATTATCTTTGGGAAGTTGCATTTTATTCCTATTCTAAGGAATAATCTACATGTACTAATATATAGCATATATATATGTACATATATATATGTAATGTGCTTCCCTCTTTACACCTCAGTAAAAGAGGAAAAGGAGAGGAGGAAGAAAACAAAACATGCATGGTTCAGTGTATAAAAATGAGTTACATAAAACTGTAAATTTGGAGCAGCAGTATAGCTGAAAGAAAAGCCAAGTCACCAGGCTGGAGTTCAGAATCAAACACACTGTGTTCCAGAAACAGATCTGGTGTTCCAACTGAAAATTATTTGTCATCTGTTGGCCCTAGTTTTCAGATGTGACTGGAGTTTCTGATGGTCAAAATAGGACACCTTAAATATTTTCTTCTAAAACCCTCACAACCTTTCAAACGTAGGTGGGTTTTTTAAAAATAATTATTAAAAATAAATGTGTTCCAAGCTACATATTTCAAGTTATAAGTGATTAGTTAGAAAAAAAGAAAAAAAAGAAAACCCATCACATCAGCTGTAGTTCATTCTTTAGAAAGGAGAGAGGCATCTGTTTTCAATAATCCAAATGAAACAGTAATTCAAGACCATGTGCAGGTACAAGATGTTCCTCAGATATCCCAAGATATATACCTTGAAATTAAGAACATGCTCATCTAGCACAAATACTACAAGAAGAAAGTCTGTTAATCTCATTAAATATTGGAATTCCCTTCTATTCTAAGGATAAACATCAAAACAAACATGCAACCATCCTGTCTCTTTAGGAGGACAGGCACACAAAAAATGCAGAGAAATAGAAGTGGCAAGTAAAGGATGATTTTAATTTGTTAAGGCCTTAGCATCTTATTAAATTTACAGTATGGGATTGTTAGAAGCTTAGTGTAAACATGAAGATGAAACAGGAGTGAATTTACTTAAGAAGTCTAGCACAAGGCAATTACAATGAGTTCAAAGGAATATGAAACAAAACCTCGGGATGACTGTAAGGGTATACACAGACATAAACCACAAAGGCACAGACTTCGTGTACAAACACAAGCATACAGAGACACACCGTACAAATATAAATAACTGGGTTCAGAAGTTACCCTGAGCACCTGAAGCTTGAAATGCTGTACAAAATTTTATTAGTATAGACAAAGTTACAAGTAAAATCTAGAATATAAATAGACAAATACTATATTTGTATCTGTAAACACACAAATAACATTATAATTTGTATAGCTTTCATCTTTATCCCAGTGTTCACATGCATGTAAATTTAATAAAGTTTTTTATTCCTTTCCAGACATAGAAATTGAGGCAACAGAAACTGGATGGATACTCCTATTCTATCCTGATCAAAGAAATGATCTCTCCTCTTTTCCTCACCAGTTAAAAGTTCAGCTTCCCACTTGTTTTCTTCTTTATTTCACACAACAAACAGAAGAGCAGCAAATACGAGACAAAGTTAATCTTACTGCAAATGTTCTCATACGAATAAAAAAGTTTTATTAGTATTAGGACATTTATGACTAACTTTTATCCTGAATGTTATCTTTGTGTGGTGGTTGTCTGCAAACACTTTTAGCTGCTGAAAACATATATACGCTGGGAGATTTAAATTTAGATAAACAGAATTGTTACAGCCAGCCAAGCTGCCAGTTAATGCCCATCAACTTCAAAGATACTATGCAGGAAAGCATTAAATCTGAAAACTAGCATTCTTACTTATACTCTCTCATTTCATTAAGACTCTCAAATAAAAGTTTTTTTAAGTTAAAAAAGGAAATGCCAGTTTGGGTCTATTATTAGCTTGAACAGATTAGAACACAGGCCTTAGCTAAACCCACCCCTGGACCAATAACCGTGAAATGTATATTGCTGGTCCTCTTTTCGTATCAGAACAAAGATCAAGGCAAAAAAGGAAATAGATTTCATGAACGTTCACCATGACAATGAGAGTCTAAGGCAAAAGACTGTGCCAGATATAAAATTTTTCCAAAGCATAAGGATAAAGTGCCAATGAGAGAAAAACAACATTTAAAATATAGCTCGTCTCCTACGTTACACAAAACAGGATTGATTCACAGTGCAGCTTAAAAATGTATTCTATTAACAGGGATGTAACATAGCTATTGAAACACTTTGGAAGTAAGAAAATCAGGAAAGTTCAGAGGAGAAAAATG